AGTGGCCAAGAACACGTGGATCCACACATCCACTCCCCCATACCGTATGGAGAAACAGAGGTATAGCTCCATATATACTTAATCTAGGCACTAGACGGAGAAACGTGGTCAACTTCACGCGCCGGCCGCTCTGTCTCTGAGGCAAGAGGCCCTGTTGCCAACGGGATGAGACGGTGGTGGGCCCCAAATCAGACCTGGGCGCTGTGGAGTAGGGCAAAATCTATTGACTCTGCCGGACAGAATCCGAATTCTTTGCTTTCCGAGGCCGTCTGCGCTGCTTCTTGCTTGGCTTATTGTTCGACCCTGAAGACGGAGACGATATTTCCCCCCGAAACTTCAGTCGGCGTCATATTCCAGGAGATAAAACCCTTCCGTCAAATAATTTACCAGGGGAGAGACAAGCAAGACCTACCCAATGCTTGCTCACTTTATGCAAACCCATTCGTTGGTACATGTGTTTTCTTTTCACGAAGGACTTAAATTTGAAGTATACTTAGCTAGAAGTTTCGGAGGGAAATATCGCCTCCATTTTCAGGGTCGAATAAACAGAGCAAGATTCCAGCGTGAAAGTAGGTGGAAAGCAGAGCTTCTCCTTCGAAACGTCGGTTGCCTTTCAATGGACTACACGACGTTATATCCCACAAGGTACTCTTCATAACCACCGGTGTCAAGCCCTCAGATCCTAGCAGTTCTGTACCGCAATCGTTCCTTGAATAACCTTCACTTCTATCATTCCAACTCTGAAGTGTATAAACGTGCCTTTCCGAGGAGATACGATAGTAAACATGTAAAGCTGTCCCTGCGCTTAATTAGTTAAGCACCACGCCATGAAGACGTATGAGTGGAGGTACAGCTCCACAGTTCTTCCTCAGAACTAGATGGAAATCAACGATGAGTTTCACGTCACCCCGAGACGGTCTGAAAGCTGTGGAGATTAGAAAAATCTTACTCTTGCCGGGAATAGAATCCCGCCCATCAATCCTATGGCTCCCTGGTGATAGTATTCTCTCTCTCTCTCTCCTCTTGCTCCCACTTCGGGGCATAGAGCTGATTTCTCAGTTTCATGATCATTTTACAGACCGCAGGACTCATTAGACGAGTGATCAGTCCGTCACAAGGCCTCTACCTAAACACAGGACGACTTAAACACAGAATAAACGCATACACATACCAAACATCTATGTCTTGAGTGGGATTCGAACCCACGAACCCGGCTTCCGAGCGAAAGAAGACAGTACATGCCTTAGACAACTCGGCTACCGTGACCGGCGGTGATAGTACTAACAAAAAATAATTGTTCACACTATGACCAACCCCCAAAGTGGAGGTTTGTCCCTCTTCACCTGTTCAAGACAGTTGTTATATATGTCTTGATGATATATCCTTCGTCCATAACCTAAGGACGCGCCAGTCCTTAGTGTCTACAGACTTACTTAACAGGGATATTTGGCGTGAGCTTGTGACGTCTTACTGCAAAGCGATTTCTCACGTCCCACGTCAGAGTGTTTCATAATTAGATAATTCTCTTTGGTGACAGAGCAATTTCTCAGGACACAAAAATCTGCCTTCAGTTAGGATTACTAACATTGAAACTGAACTAATATTTTCTGTTTAATGGTTGCATTAAACGTCAGAAGGTACATTTTATGTATTTACTTATTGATTTACATTCGTATTTTGTGCGTTCGTGCCAAAAAGAGACTCCGATGAATGCGAGAGAAAGAAATGAGAACGCCACGGCTCACTATATAGACAGATGTCGCAAATCACAGGTGGCCTTGTTCCCGAAATTTTCTGTGTCGGTTTTAACGATCGTGGAGGCTCATTGTACGTCAAAGAGCAGAGTTTCCATTTGTTCCCTTGATTCCACTGGCATGTGGATAGGTGGCAGCACATTTGACAGGCGCACAGAGAGCAGGAAGAAGAAGAAGAATGAAAGAATTACGACCGTGTTGATGTTCGAAGTATTCATTTTTAGGAAGCACATAAATTATTATTGGTAATTCTGTGCGATACGGTTCTGTGTTCGGGTTTTATGATCGACTTTACAGATGTTATTTCGGAATACAAGGAGTTTTAACAATAAAATTACATTTTAAAAACGAAAAGAAAACATTAAAAATTTGTGGGTATATTTTATTGATCTGTAAAAGAGAGAGAGAGAGAGAGGAGCGGCGACTGCTATGTTGCCGTTTATAATCCGGAAGTACTTTATGTCACGTTCACAGAAGAGGCTTCTTGCAACAGCGGCCAATGTCACTTCGACCCCTAAATCCAAACACCAAAAATGTTTTTCTATGATCCGTTATCTTGAGTTGTTTTAATCAACTGGCTGTAATGTATGTTTTCATTTCACGTGATAGAGCTGTCAAGAATTAGTGGACACCTACTTCCACGCCCCAATACGCAAGCATCACGCTATGAAGACATATAAAGCAGCAGAGGTATAGCCAGAAGCATTGTTAATTTCAGCACTAGATGGATGTGAATGATCAGATTTACGCTCCGGACGCTTTACCTACGGGGTCCATAGCCCAGGATCACATTGTATAGAAAACTGGGTGAGATAAAGAACCAGTCTGGAGGCTGTGAAGAACAGAAAAGTATTAATTTTCGGGGAAATAATCCGGATTTTTGGGTCGTCGAACCAGTAGCCTAAATGCTATATTCAGTTTCCTCAATCTCCGTGGTAGTTGGTTTGAGATGTAATTTAAATATTTAGCGAGGACCGCCTGACAGACGGGTGTTGCATGTCTGACGGGGATAAGACTCGCTTCCTTTTCGCCAAACATTTCTATTAGCAGGGCAACAAACAAGAGTCATCAGTAGGAGACGTCATTAGCGCGGCAGACGGCTGAGGCCGGAACTGACAAATCCGCGCGGTTAATCCCTGCAGCCTGTGCTTACATGCGCCACCTGTGCCTTGCTCATGCGCAGCGCGAGTTGATCACAAGAAGCGAGTCTGCCACAGACATCAGTACAACGTAGGGCCAACAGAAACACTTCTTCTTTTATTGTTAGCGGGGTGGGACTAAGTACCTTGACTGCGGCCACTTCTAGCCTATTGTATCAGCCCCAGATGATAGGTGAGGGTGATTGTGGAGCAATTGCTGGAATGAAGATTGGCAGGGGAAACCGAAGTACTCGGAGAAAACCTGCCCCAGCGCCACTTTGTCCACCACAAATCCCACTTGATCGAACCCGGGCCGGCGAGGTGGGAAGCCAGCGACTAACCGCTTGAGCTATGGCGCGGCCAAACGGAAGTCTTACATACACAGACAGACCACTGAAGTGACACGAGGGTCCCGTGATCTGAGGAGAGCTTACAAATCCACGCACACGACATTACGTGTATCAGCAAAACATTAAATTACACAGCGAACTGGCCTTGTAATGGCGTTGGCCTTGACCTTGACCGACACACGCAATGTCACGCACAAAATGCCGGGTATCCCTTCCTCAGCTCCGTGACTACGCAAGGGTTACATCTGCAACTGCAAAATTACTGCTTTCTGCTTTCCTGTCCATCATTCATTCTTCAATTGTTCTACGGCCCTACTCTCTGGCCTTGGCCGCTTTCATCAGTTTCGTACTCCTCCACACGGTCGGTATGACTCCTTGGACGGGGGATAAGCCCGTCGCAAGACCTCTACCTACATACATGACGGCACAAACGCAGAATAAACGCACACAGACATTCATGACTCGACTGGGATTCGAGCGGGTGAAGAAAGTTCATGCCGTAGCCTGTGCGGCCCCTGGGATCAGCTATTCTATCTTTAACTGACATTAAATCGTAAGGTAAAGGCAAATTTATCCCTGTGCTTAACTAATTAAGCACTATGCCAGGAAGGCGTATGGGGGAGTGGATATATAGATCTACATTTTCTTGATCTCCGCAGTAGATGGAGGCGAGTGGTCACCTTCGTGTCATGTCCCCTGGTATCCACTGGATACGAAGCGCGGTGGCCCCACGGCCGGCCTGGACGCTGTGGAGAAGACAACACTCTCTTTCCCTTGCCGAGAATCGAACTCCGGCCGTAGACTAGTCGATATACCGACTGAGCTGATTTAACATATTATCCCAACACTGACTGGCCTTTACAAAGATTGCTATATCTGACAGCATGTGACATCTGTTGAAATTTCATCTGAAGTGAAGAGTGAAGGAGTAGTTGGAGGGAATTTTTGCCCAAATCTGAATTTTGATGACACTTTCTATATAGGCCTATAGTATTTGGGGCCTCTAAGGAATCATGCAACCGCTCCTCTTCAAACTGTGGGAACTGAAGAAAACACCTCTAGAATTCAGAGAAACGGGGACCATCAACCACCTATACTGTGTCTGAAACACCTTCGAGCGTGTGGAGTCATCACATAGTGACGTTGACTTTTTGTTCAGAGCTCAGAGGTACTTTAAGATTGGCGGTTTACCGCCAATCAATTCGTCCTGGCGAGAAGCACCTTGAGACCCATGATTAGAGTTTTTATTTTCCAACTGAACATTTTCGGTCATAGTACTTATGTAACATCCTCTCGTGACGTTTACAGTTTCTGCTGGGCCTCGCCAGCGCAGTCATTCTCAGGTCTGAGTCCCAAGAGACTCACGACCATATTTTACTGTATCAGATTAATCTTTCGTCAGCGTTAGAAAGTCACTAGTTTCTGGCCACAACGGTGAACTTGTTCAATATAGAGGAATTTTCTTCCGTAAGGTTGGCTATTCAAGATATGACCGCAGAGATGTTTCAGACAGATAATGCACTGCAGAACACAGGCCCACACTTAACAAGGAACTAGTTCTGACATTAAGAATGATGAAAATGGATAAAATCCTAAGACATAATTCTCTTCTCCGCCACACCAGCCTTCATGTCGGCTTTCTGAAGGCCTACCAGAGGCCTCATTCGGAATATTACGACAATAATTATGTAACTTTGACGTCCTCCATTCCGCGGGATTGTTCTGGCACAGCGCTGGCTGCGTGTGTTAGTCGTCATCAAACAGCGAGGGAGTCAACGGCGACACAGAACACGGTAACTACTTGCAAGACTCTGTTCTCATTGGTGTTCATATCCGTAAGACTGGTATAGAAGTGAGTACATCATAATCTCTTCTACCATGAAGATGGAAGCAGCCTACTTCTCTGACAAGCTGGTAAATTTTTACTGAATTCCACGGTGTCACTTTGCGACTGACGGTCAGTCAGTAAGTTTTGGTGTCGAGCACCATCTGTGGCTCATGACCAGATATTAATTACTGCTTGACAGTTACGGACTTCTTTTTGTGGGGCGCCCTCTCTGACGAGAGGACGGGTCTGTCTTTTGTATATGCTGCTAGTCCTTGCCAGCGCAGTCTTTCTCGGGTCCGAGTCCCTTGGAACTCGAGACCATATTTTACTGCCTCAGATCTGAGACTTCACTTTTTGTCGCCCCCTACGACTCGCAGGGTCACGGTGGAGGTACTCGCCCCCGCCTCCACTCTGCCTCAGCACTGACCACACAGAAATAACAGCCTCTATTGTGAACGAGGCATGTTTACTGGTACGTTGCCTAGCAATAAATGTCCTTCTGTTGCACGCGTACACTTTGGGGGAATGTGTTTAACGAGTCGTTGCCTAGCAATGGGTAAAGACATCACAATATGGTTCCGGGATAGCTCAGTCGGTACCACATTCTGTACGACCGAAAAATTTGAGTTTGATTTCCGGTAGGTAAATAGAGGACTGGCAGAGTTCAGACCTGCTATGGGCACCGTTCAGCATCCCATTCCAAGATTGAGGGGGACGCTTTCCCCGGCGGTAAGAAGGCGAGAGCGTCAAGGTCACCAATAACATCAATCTAATGTTGAGATTACGAATGCGTGGAATTATACCTCCACGGCTCATATGTTTTCCATGACGTGGTGGGAATGCTTTGCCGTTTACCCTTATAGACAAATTACATACGAGACACTCATGAACAACTGTGTCATCTTGCATATTCTGTGTCTAGGTGAGACATGACGTCAGGATCAGAGACGCCATCAACAGCAAAATGGCTACACAAGAAATTTCTGGAAACAGTCCTGAGGAAGGGCGACAACACCCCAACGTTAAAAGTCACAAGTTATGACGTCAAGCCGGCCGTCGGTAAAGGAGACAACTACACTAGCGACCTATACCGAGTCAAGATTCATACTGCAGATGGAAAGGTTTTCAATTTGATCGTTAAGAAAGAGTTGGCTGCTGAGGGAGAATTGGGCAAAGTTTTGCAAAAATCATCGGCCTTCTTGAGGGAGACACACATGTACAGAAGTGCGGCGGTAAGGCTGGCCAACATACTGCAGGAAATGTCACCAGGTTCGTATAACACATTTGATACATACTGTGTATAAAGCAACTTCTGGCTTGCAGCTCAGCCACGTCTGTTATATAGTTGGGTGACGGAGCACAAAGAATTGGAAAGGATTTGGAAGGTAGCCGTTGTAGTCTAGTTTAAGGTACTACCCAGGAATTTGCCTGGCTGGACTGAGGAAAACCACGAAAAATAATTGGTCAGGAGAGCCTGTGTCTCGGCAGAATATCGAACAGGGAATCCCCCGGATACATGTCATGAGAAAAATCGCTTGTGCCAACTTGCTCCATTTCAGACCGTGGCAATGCTTACGAAATTGTTTTGGATATTTACGTCTCTCGGCAGTTGACCTCATGTGAACTAGTTGTTAGAGCCACGCTGTCCTCCATGTTAGGGCTGACAACCTTAGAAGATTATTTGTTGAAAGAAAACTGAAAGTTGGATCTTCGAATTTTCCTTCAAAAACAAAGCCTCTAGTTCTGTTCCGAAAAGTTCAGACTTTTGGGGTTGTTTTCAAAAAGAAACCTCTTATGTTGGCAGAGCTATATGGAGGAAAACATGTAGGAAAAATTTTAAGCTTACTAGAGTTTTCCGTATATACGTAACTGAATTACTCGTAGATATAAAAAGTGTTGCAGAGAAAATTTGTAGAAACATTCATGATATACCAGTTGAATATCCGTTGAAAAGAAGCATAAAATAAATTTCGACAATTTTCATCTATAGCAACGGCTTCCACAGAATCCCCTTTTACTCATAACAGTCCCTGAGAAACTCTGTAAAATCACGAATTCATTGAATATCCACGCTTTCCTTTGGCACTACAGCCCCAATTTGTGCTTTGGCCTGCCTCCATGAAACTCTCCGTTTCACTTCTGTTTACTAAATCTTATATATTCGGTAGGACTCCTTGGGCGGGTGATCAGCTCGTCGCAAGGCCTCTACCTGTACACAAACACTGAACATCCATGCCTTCAGTGGGATTGGAACCCACGATCCCGGGTTCCGCTCAGCTACCGTGATCGGCATCCACGCTATGAAATTCTAATAATTCTGGAAACACGACTCCGTAAATATAAGAAGACAGTACTGGCTTGTGGACTCCAGATCACACTGAGTTCTATGGGCTGTGAAACACGCTCCATCAATCAACAACATAAAAACATCAACCACAAAACGAAAAAACAAACAAACCCGATAAAACACAAAACAAGATGTGTCAGAGAGTACAGTATATGTCTGGACATCAGATCGCTTTAATAATGCTCGCTCCAATTCTAACTTCAACACACAATTTTAATTATATTAGTAACTTTTAAAACACGGCCGTATCATAACTAAGGCGGTTAGTCGCCGGCTTCCTAACGCGACAGCCCGGGTTCGAGCCCAGGTCAAGGCATGTGGGATTTGTGAACAAAGTGGTACTAGGACAGGTTTTCAACAAATACTTCGCTTTCCCCTTCCAATTCTCTTTCCACCGACTGCTCCACACTCATCATCTATCTTCCGGTGCGGGTACAATAGGCTAATTAGTGGCCGACGAATCACGTGGACTCAGGCTCACCCCCACCCCAAGAAGCTAAAAAAATTAAAACAATTTCCCATTTTATTTATAATATTTATACAAATGACGCTGTATCAAATCACAGAACTGAATATTCTTTTTATTACTTGGTGGGGTGTGAGTGAGTCCACTTGGTACTGCGGCCATTTCTGGCCTATTGTACCAGGCCCAGATGATTATGATGATGGAGAATTTGGTGGAATGAAGATTGGCAGGGGAAACCGAAGTACTCGGAGAAAACGCGCCCCAGCGCCACTTTGTCCACCACAAATCCCACTTGACGAGACCCGGGATCGAACACGGTCAGCCGCGGTGGAAAGCCAGCGACTAACCGCTTGAGCTATAGCGCGGCCTCAGAACTGAACATGCTATTTATGTAATAACCTCAGAATAAACATGTAATGGTCGAAACATCGAGCTACGGATTAGCAATTTGTTATCCAGTGTATGTAAGTGGCCTTATAATTAATTAGTAAAATTACGCTACCGAAGAACATCACTGGCGTGTTCGTGCGGAGCAAAAAAAAAAAAAAAAGTAAAGCTACCCCTGTAACACGCCGCAAAGGCACATAGGGTCGTGAGACGTCGAGGCTCCCACATTTTCTCTAGACAATCGGCTCACAAACGGCGGTGAGATCAGCCTTACGCGCCGGCCGCCATTTACCCCCAGGAAGATTCCTGGTACTCATTTCTGTTGGAGGCTGAGTCGACCACAGGGTCATAGTGCGGCTGGGAGGATTAGGTAAACTGAAAAAATCCACCTCATCGGGACTCGAACCCGGGACCATCCGGCTTGTAGCATAGTGCCTCAACCAACTATGCTACCACGTGTCCTGCTGGTGCAGAGGGTGTATGCGCGAAGATAATTTACCCACTACAGAATCTCATAAGCGTGTCGTATTCCTCTGCGCAACGGAGGTCACCCCATTTCCGCTTCCCTTACGGCAGGCACAAGGACTAAACCTTTACAGTACAAAGGGGCGGGAGAAAACTCTTTCCTTGAGAACGTACATGTCACTACGCAGTTAGTAGCCAGCGTTTCGGAGACCGTTACCTCCTCCATCATCAGGGTTTCATCTAATCAACCAACTCAGTACTGACATGGCTGATTGCCCAAGAAGACTTCACTGTGTACCTACTTATGACCCTCAAAATGCACTTGACAGAGTTCTGTTCATTATACAAATATTATATAGCACGTTGATCAATCCTACGCATTAAAACGGCCTTTCGAAAAATCAGTTCCATTCCGTTATCCTACTGACTTGTGTCCGTTAGAAGGGGCTAGTCCTGATCGCTCCTAAATGGCAAAGTTAGAAGAATTCTATTTTCCTTACTTATTCCTGACGAAGGAAGCTGATACAATTTCCGATATTTCTTCTGTTTTGAATATACCTAACACAACAATGTCCAACATAACATTTACATTTCAATTAAAACTGTCACGATGAAAGTTTTAATTAAGATAACAATGTATTGCATTTTGTTCAAATTTCATGTTATAACAGTGACACAGTATTTCTGTACTTACCAACATCTCCAATTTGACCAACTCCGAATTGCCACACACACTGCACCAGCTTGTACTTTTACATTGCAGAGTTATTAAATTCCATGTTTAATGTTCACAAACACAGTTACAAGATTTAAGAATCTTCACATTCTTCCAAACACAACAATAGAACACCTCATGAACACGCGACACTCTGTTCACACACCATGCGAGTTTAACAAATAACCTAACAAGATTTCTTATCGATGATAACCTCTCTAGTAACAGAAACCCACTGCAGATGTAATGCATTTAACATGAAACCCAAATATTGTCATATTGCTATAATACTCGCAACAACAATAAATATAGCTTGGCTTGCCACCAACCTATGAATTACACACACAAACTCAGCACGGTCAATCCTTCAGTTACTTCTAACCTGATCACACAACTCCTGCCTCGTGCTGTCCAATCAAATCGCGCCAACGAATGAAACATGAATCCGCTTTACGACGCTCTGCTGTTTCAAGTGCGTTCACAAAGCAAGATGAGAACAGATTAAACACAACCAAGACAGAGTGTCTTGCACAGGTACTACATAAGGTCTAGCCATCGTAATTTACCTTATGACAAGGTAAGGCAAAGTCAGTGCTATGCTTAATAAATACCACACCTAAAGAGAGCGTGCGGTGACTTGGGAATATAACCCCACGATTTCTTAATCTCAGCACTGGAAGGGAGTAGCCAGGTTCACACCCTGGCAAAGAAGCGATGGCCGCATTTCATTAGGCGGCTGGCTTGGACCCATGGTCAATCTGGGAGCGTCTATTCTGTCTTATTGGATCCTGCTATGATTCATTTTAGGACGCGTTCAGTAGCTATGATTAAAGGTAAAAAAATTAAGCTATCCCTGAAATAGACCGTGGAGGCCCATAGGTCTGTGAGACGTCGAGATTCCCATATTTTCTAGAAGATCAGCTCACAGATGACGGTGAAGTGCTCAGCTTTATGCGTCAGCCGGCCCCCCTTTACCCCCAGGAATATTTCTGGAACTTATTTCTCTTAGAGGCTTAGTCGAAACCAGGGCCACAGTGCGACTGGAAAGATTAGGTAAACTGAAAAATACAATGATCTCACTGGGAACCGAAACCGCGACCTTCCGGCTTGTAGCATAGTGTCTCAACTAACAACGCAACCGCGTGACCCCAGTATCTGAGGATATTTCAAAGGATTTGGAAGAAAGAGGGCCTAGCCTACTCGGAGTGCTGTCCTAGCAGCTGCTTACAGGCTAAAACGATGGAAAAATCCATCAGTAAATTCGGTATCGCGATTAATATTCGAACCAAGGTAATCCCGAATATAAGTCTGGGGCGTTAGTGCTACACCAACCTGCTCAGTAGTTTTGGAGGGCTGAATGAACATTTTAAATAGCAACAAAATTCACTTCAAAGGGAAGGAGAAACGGCTATCATTCTGCCTTAGCAAAGACTGTAAAACAGACAGTTGGCATAAACTATAATATTTACAATTGTCTACCGTAAACCTTCATGAAGTGTTAGTACTTTCTGCATCACACTGTAACTTGTGGTTGCTGCTGTTGCAGGTGAGTGCTCACAGTTCGCGGCGCGCTATCTGTACTCCTGTCCGGGAACCATAGTGATGCAAGACCTGCGTGCTGAAGGCTTCAAAATGGCAGAGCGTCGACAGGGACTAGACTTCTCTCACTGTTTGCTCGTAATGCGCATGCTCGCCAGGTTCCACGCTGCTTCCGTTGTTCTTCACGACAGGGACCTTGAAACAATGTCCCTTTACGACAAGAATTTCTTCTCTGATCCCGAGATGAAGGAGGGCTTACAAAAATTTGTTTCTGGTACGTATCCCTGATCTCATTAGGGCGAAACGACAGCCGATAATGGGTTTTCATTTGTAACTAAATCCACAGCATTTGCCGATGTACAGACGTCGCGTATATACTGTCCCCCCTCAGAAGTGCTCCCTAAGAATGACGATTAGTTTGTTAGATATCAGGTTCTCACAGCAGTAAAAGTGAAGTGATGCACCACAGTGAAGTCTGTTAAAAGTCAGGAGATATTTCGGAGGAACATACCGCCTCCATCTTCAATGTCAAAGAGTAAACCAAGCAAGAAATCCGTAACAAAAATGTGATGTCGCCATAAACGTCGGTTGACATTAAGCTGGAGGGGTACTGGTTACATTTACACCCCCGGATCCCTTATATATGAGGGGAAAGATCCTCAGAATCTGTTGGATAGGAGACTGTATGTCCTCCAGACCCGGGCTGACGCTCTGCGGAAGAGCGGTCTCTCGCAACTGCCGCGAATTGAACCCTGATTCCACGGTCATTCGATCCATATCACGTCATTACACCAATTGAAATATCTCTGTTCCATTTCTTTCCATCTCATAAACAATTTTAATATTATCTATCATTTAAGTTTAGTTCATCATAGTGGTATATTTCTTTCAAATTTTCCTAATGTCCATTTTCTTTTGCGTAGACCACTCCAAACAATCCATCCAAGTTCGAGGTTCTGTGGAACATTTCGTGACGAGCTGGTATTTTTACTTTAAGAAGTTGTTAGCCTCATACCCGATCACCAAAGCTGGAGGATCACCCCTTGCCGGCTGTCCGCGACTATTTATTCAATGTATCATCCTTCCCCAACAACAAAGAACAAGTGCAGACACAAACACAAGCGAATATGACGTCTATATTCCCCGTTACAGGTACCTTCCGGACAGTGGTGAAGGCCGTGCAGACCTGGCCGGGATTTGCAGACCGCTATGCAGGAAAGCTCGACGCTCTAGCGGACTCCATGTTGGACCGCATCATACAGGTCAGCCAGAGGGACGATACCGCCCTCAACGTGCTCATACACGGTGACCTTTGGGTCAACAACATTCTCTTCCGGTACTCCGACGGCCCTGTAGACGTCCGGTTCGTAGACTTCCAGCTTCTGCATTTTACATCGCCAGCCATCGACTTGCAGTACTTCTTCAGCACGAGCCCGTGCGAGGACGTGAGAGAGAACCACCTGGACAGCTTGATGAAGGTGAAGTTCAGGCCATCTTCAATTCTGTCACTGTTCGTTACGTAACGCAGTCCAGTTGCAGGACGTGTCACTTGAAACGCTGGCACACATTCGCGTGTAGTCCGTTCATGCATGACTGAGTGAGAAAGAGAAGCAGTTCGTCTGAATAATATAGAGTTCAGTCCGTACCTCACAGGAAACATATCACTTGTCCGCTACAAAGCCCAACCGGTTAATGCTGTCTAAGGAAACAGTCGCTGTTTATTGTGAGAAGAATATGGAACAGACAGAGACACACTGTGGGTGATGCCAGAACTTTCTGAAAGGGGTTTGGAGGGGCGAAAATTACTAAATTTGCTTACAAATTTATGTTAGGCTACACTGAGGTTAAGCGATAGCCGTCAGTAGAACTGCTCATTTCCGTTTCTTGTCTATTCTTTCAGGCGCATGATCGTCCAGTGAGTGCCAACGTCACGACTTTGCCAACTTGCTCCTTGGTCATTCTTGTTTGTAGTGCGTCTGGGATGTAATCCTTCGACAACACTGATAGGAAGTTAACAATGTTACGAACATTATGTTACAGGAATACCACAACACCCTCTGTGAATGTCTGAACGCCATGGGCTACTCCCATAAGCACATCACTCTGGAAGATCTGTGGAAGGAATATAACAACAAGGCACTGTATGGGCTCTTTGGGGCATGCTGTGTGTTACCCATTGTTCTGGCGGACAAAGGTTTCGATATAGATGCAATTTTGAAATCAGGGATTGGAGAGGAGATTGAGGTAGTCAATGGGGACACTTATAAGAAGGCCCTGCAGCGAATGTTGCCCAAATTTGAAGAGGATGGAGTGTTTCGGTCTGGAGAATCTCTATCAACTGACGAGGTTCAGAATGCATAGAGCTATATCTCCACGCCCTCGTACTTCTTCATTTCGTGGTGCTTGATATAGCACCGGTACAGCCTCATCCCCAGGTCCATTTTGTTTACTTCTTTCGAACTTCGTGTAAAGTAGGGCTTATGAGTACCAGGATAACTCTGTATCAATGTAGTGACTATGCTACTGCCTGAACTACCACGGAATCTAGGTTCGATTCCTGGCAGGTATTAAAGATTTTCTCTCCTCTTCTCCGGTGTCCATTAAATCCCGTAATCAGTGGATACTGGTGTCCTCTTCCTGTTGGAGTAAAGCGGCCGGAGCGTGAGGCTGGCCACTGACCTACTTCAAATCTCCACTCCTCCATATGTCTTCATGGTGTGGTGTTACAAAAAATATAAAGCCCAAAAGATATATAGTATTGTCACGATTTATGGGTGCGTGACTATAGGAGGGGTATAGATTGGTGAGAGGATTTATTGAACACTTATACAGAGAACTTGGAACTACGAGTAATTAAAGCGTCACAGTTAATGTCCACAATACAGAAATTACCATAGCAACCACTAAGTCCTTACCACCCGCCTATGTCTTCACTAGTCGTTCCCTAGCAACGACTTCTAACATTGGAGATTCTTCAGCTTCCGTGCTTACGTCGTTACTGTCCGCCGAATATCCCACAACTGACAACAGTACTACAGCGCCACCTCTTCTTAGCTCCGATCTGTTACCTAGAAACGGGTTGAATCACAGTTGCTCTATTGTTGCGTGCGTGTATGTGGCAGGCGTTACATAGCAACGGCTGCTGCTTATAGAGTCACCGCTTAGCAACGGCTCTATACGCCACAATATTTCGAATACTTCTGCAGGAATGCATAAAAATATGTTTTGTACCTTGTGCAGTTGTTTCGCCAAAATTTTCCTGAAAATCGTTAGTTACGAGAATATGGACCCGGTAACAGTCTTGCTGAAGCTTCTGTCTTCCCTAGGGCCGTATTGAAACCAGGCAAGCCCTGGTCCCGCTGCGCCCAGTCCCACCTCGTCGTTCCCAGTTAATTTCAAACACTTACGTCAAACGCAAACGGATTACAAGCTAAAGAAGACTGTTTCATGGAATACAGCGCTGTGTAGCTTCAGGAACAATATTACATGCCCCAAATTACGCGCACGGGACTCCAAGCTGCCTATCCTTCCAGGGTTTCTCACCAAAAATTTGAAAACATTTCTCTTCTCACCCATGTTTGTTACTCTTCCCACCGAATTCACTTCCCTAAATTTTATGTTATTATTGATATTTAAAAAGGAATAAAAAGAATTAAGTTCCTTATTATGTATTTTTTATTCACCTATTTCTTCCCAATACAGTTCTCATCATCCCGTTCTCAAACACCCAAAATTGGGCACGACTACGCAAACGAAAGATTCCGACATCCAAGGAGGATCATGACCCACTGTAAGTGAGGAAGTAAGAATGTGCTATTAAGAAACATTTTAAATTCAGTATTAGCCACAAGAAGACGAGGAAGAAGACGTAAGAAGATGCTGGATGACCTTGGGGACAGAAGAGGATACTGTCATTTGAAGGAGAAAGCTCTAGATCGCATTAAGTGGAGGAACTGTTTTGGAAGAGACTGTGGACCTGTCGTCTTGACAGATTACTGATGATGATGATTATCCACGGATATATCTCACAAGACAGTAACATTCAATGTGATGACCGCGCCATAGCTCAAGCGGTTAGTCGCTAGGTTCCCACCGCGGCGGCCCGGGTTCGATCCCGGGTCTGGTCAAGTGGGATTTGTGGTGGACAAAGTGGCGCTGGGGCAGGTTTTCTCCGAGTACTTCGGTTTCCCCTACCAATCTTCATTCCACCAATTGCTCCACAATCACCCTCACCTATCATCTGGGGCTGGTACAATAGGCCAGAAGTGGCCACAGTACAAGGGACTTACTCCCACCCCACTAGCAATTAAAAAGAACATTCAATGTGGGTGCCTTCGGAAAACGTAGCTACAGCCAGAGTATATTTCGTGAGTGTATAGGAACATTTTATGGCTTACTGCAGGTGTAGAGGCTGTAAAACTATTTAGGTTCCTGCTGTCATCGTACAGCCTGATAGGGACCTGCAACAGTGCGCAGACCTGTAATAATCGTGACAACGGAAACACTTTAGAGCGGTTGTAAAGCTGTTTGGGTTCCTACTGCCAGGTTGCATCATGGGGGTACAGTAAAGTTATGTTTTGTTTTAGAGGATCGTGTTATCACAAACTCTGACCCCTGACATTTTGTCTTCCTTCAATGACAGAGCAAATTTCACACCCGCACAAAAGTGAAGCACGCAGAAGGGAAATATCAGGAATAAACGACACACACTCCTAAGGACACTCTAGAGCAGGCATGTCAAACTCAACTTGTACAGAGGGCCACCTCAGTCCTATAAATAATAGTCCAGGGCCGCACTTCAAAATAGAAATATACATTAGATTTTGATACAAGGAAATTTAATTCTATTTATTATTTAGGAATAATTTAAATATAATTACCTAAAATCACAAATCTTACAGTTTTAAAAAGCAAGAGAATGACATTTTTGACAAGTATCAAACAACTTATCACTATGTAAAAAGAGAGATTACACAAGAAATTATGTTAGAAATAGCAGAACATTGAATTTCCTGCAGCCTGCTAATTTATGTCTGCGTGAGACTTATTGTCTTCTGGTCTGTTGGAAAATTGTCTTTACAAAAAATATTTCTACTAAAATTTTAATATTGATTTTAATATCAATTAGCTCGAAAAGTTGAGGGGCCGCACTTTGTGCCTATGGGGGCCGCATATTTGACACGGCTGCTCTGACGGTTCAAGAGTTCGGGTTCTTTGAACGATAAGCAATTCGATAAGTGAGGAACCGCATTCACTACAAGACACAATTCCATGGAGAGACACGACTGACGGATCGCTGTCTGAATTAGACAAGTGCTACAGTCTCGACTGAGACAGGAAGACGAACACGAGCGATTGAAATTGTAAGTACTCTGAAGGGCACGATCGTGATCTGTTTCAGGGTGTAGCGTGTTTATAACATCTCTGTGTCCGTGTCACCATCACGAGAAAGTCACTAGATTCCATTTTCAACAGGAGATTATAAATAAAATGTCTACTTCGCTGAACATGCACGCGTTTTCTTCCGCAAATTCGATGATCTTGATAATATTCCAATGACTTATCTCCAGGACGCAAGTTCACAGTGTCACCGGTTTCATGACATTCATGTGAATTGGTACGGGTGTGACTTGAAGCAGTCGTGGCCTATTTCTATGTTATAGTGACTTTAATTCTCCAAGAAAGAATGCGAAAGAGCCAGAAGCGTGTGGGATGAGTGTTTCAGAAGGAATTGAAGAATTTCCGTCTTTGAAGGTTCCTAGGCGGTGCTGATTTGTCCTTCAGGTAGAGGCAGACTGTAGAAAAGGTAAAGCTATAGGAAGTGGATACATGTAAATACTATTTAAAATGTTCCTGTGTAAGATTTAAGATTTTCACGGCGGTGACTATGAAGAATGCCGCCTTTTGGGATGTGGCGCCATGTAGATCTTGTGTGAACAGACGTTTCGGACGAACGTCGATTCGCACAGGATCTACACGGAGCCACATGCCAGAACACGGCATTTTGAAAATGTCCTTGTTTCAAAGAAAACAAATGTATCTCCATTAGAAAGATTAAG